AACTGAAAAGACAAATATTTCCGCTATCATAAACTTTCAGACCTGCTATATACTGAAAATTTTATCAGCTGGCAGGAGAAAAGGCTGTGCTGATCAGTGAAGCACTAAGATGAAAAAAAAAAAAAAAAAGAGAAAAGCCTGGACTGTATTTTTCAAATAGAAGTTTGTTTCTAGCTTTTTAGTTAGTTGATTTTTATTTTTACATTAGATCGAAACCACAGGACATTTCAAGAGCTTTCTAGAGGTACAATGCAAGGACTGGTCTTTTCAGAAACGTAGAAGTGGTTTAGTGGATTGAATGCTATTTACGTGGATCTGGGAACAGTCATTCTCTGACTTTAAATTTACTCCAAGGGATGATTTTGGTTGTACAGTTGGACAACTGAAAATATGCAATAGTGTTTTGAGCAAGTTTAATTAAATCTGGAAATAAAAATGATTTATATTTCCAGTTGTTGTGCTTACCTGGGGAGCCCCATGCTTTGTTCATGAATGTAATAGGAAGATCTTATTTCTGTATGTAATAGTAAGAAAGAGTTTCTTTAACTGGAGGAAGAGTTAGACAAGTCTTCTGCAGCCAAAGACATCCCTCCAGTCTAGGAATTTATCCTTTAATAAAAAAAATAGAGAAACCTAGCTTTACATTTAAGGGCCGCAGGATCGATTCACTGATATGATTTCCTTATGCAAGTGTGTGAAAACACAGTAAAGACTGAACATCTGAATGACATGAAGTCTTCAGCATGACAGTTTGCATCTTGTTGACTTGTACCATGCAATGGAACACAACATGGGAATACATGCCCAATCTAGCTGCAGCCTATTTAGCTACAGGAGCATTATAGTCTCCAGATCACATCATCTTGATTTTTTCACATCTCTGCATGGCACTGCTGTGATGCCCTTTTTGTTGGTGGATCAGTCTGGGGATTACTACCCTGGGCTTGTTATAGTGTGTGGAGTCTATGCTCCCTCCTCACTACCCCAAGGTAGGATAGAAAAAAAACTTCTATGTGAAACAGGCCCTGATGGGTGTTTCCATAAATATTTCATAGGGAATATGGATTCCACTGAACTCAGACAACTTAGTCCTAGATAGTTACACGAAAGTGAGAAAAAAATGTTACTTTTTCTTTTCTTCTTTGATTTAATTTCTCTACTGGTAGGTTGAAGCTCTGCTTAGCTTCTAAAAAAAAAAAAGAATTGTTGTTGTAATAGTGGCTAGATTACCTTTTTCTGGTATACTGACTCATGCCTGGTATTTTTCATGAATACTTTGTTGTGAACATTAACACTAAGAACTTTTGGCTGGATATAAAAGTCACATGGTAACTTTTATAAAAGTTGCATTTACATTCTCTGATTGAGTGAGCTACAATCTCAATTGAAAGTCTTTATTCTTCTATGTTGTGGAAACCAAGAATGTTTCTAACTACAGCTACTGGCTTCTGAATTCAGGAGTCGCTTTGAGTGACCTCAAAATTAAATGTTTGCAAGAGCATCGTTAATCAATCCCTTTACCATGGCGTTATATAAAATTACATGTGTATTGGCATATTCCTCCTGCAAACCAGTGTGAAATGCTTATAAAATGTGAACGTAAGAGATCACACATGTGAAGAAAAGTGTTTCTAAACTTCATATTTTTCAGTGGTCAGTTACGCCTTTCCCAGACCCTCTGCACAAGGATGAATTTTACTTAGAAATGTAGTCCCCAGGAAGGACAAGAAATGGACCTGCTTGTCCCCAGAGATCACAATCAATAAAACACGCTCCTCAGTGAAATGAAAGTAATGGAGCTGCTGCACTGTTTATAAATACAAGAGACACTCTAAACTATCTGAGAAAAAAAACACATTTTTTAGTCCCCCAAACTACTTTTCTAATTATTTTTTCCTATAGCACCAGCTTCTGACAGTGCACATGTAGGGCTGACTCGTTCACACAGAACTAAAGGAGAAGTAAATCAATTGACTTCAGTAATATAAACCTAATTTCAATAGAATGAAAATCAGATCACAAATCTAGAGGAAATGTCAGGCATTAAGCAATAAATAACATTAATAACACTATAAATGGTGTCTCTTCCAAGTTTCTTCTAGGAACGAGAAATATTCATCTCTTTAAAAGAAGAAAGAAACGTAGGTGGTCCTTACAGGACCTGGGTAACTTGTAAATTCTTTGTGAGATGTGACTGTTTCCTTCGTTTCCTGCCAGAAGGAAAAGTTCTTTGCAGCCTTTCTTAATTCATTCTTCTCACCTATCGTCAGCATATTTAATCTGTTAGTAGAGATGGATTGGTGGATTGTTTACATTTTCATTCTGTATTTACAGTTTTATCAGGTCTTATCAGAGTAGTTTCCCTATCAGGAAGGATTTCCTAAATCTCTACCACTGACCTGTACTGCTCACACTGTGGGTTTTGCTCATAGGCCAGCTCTAAGGTTTATTACGCTAGATTGGTTTTATTACTTCTGTTTCCCTTTCTTTGTTTCAATTTGTTTTTAAGATAACTCTTTGGGCTCAAAGTTACTCTCACTTAGGATTTTGCCACATCTTTACTCTTTACCAACGAAAAACGATAAAACTTTCATTATATCATCAGTGCTACCAAGATACGAAACTTTTGCTTTGCTTCTTCTGATGTGTAGAAAATAATAATTCCAGGAGTATGAGTGGGTTTCAGACTATCTGTATACTGAGCTATTTGTGCCTATAAGTGCTTTTAACAGTTAGAAGGCAATAATCAATGTTACTATTTACTGGAAGTTTTATTTATTTAGGCATATCAGATGAGGCTTGAGGGTGATCAGCACCATTTGCCAGACAGATTAGGAACCGGTTAGATGAATAAATAGGGAGCAAGAAACAAGAGGAGATAATTGACCGCATGTTCAAATAATGCTCCACTCCAGCCTACCGGTTCCCAATATGGATGATGCTTGTTTGAGCAGTGCATTGATGTGATCCCATGGAATAAATTAATGTAATTTTTTCATAAAGGGAGAAAAAGATGAAGGAAATGCTGAAAATGCAACATATTTTAAATAACAATAACGTTTGATGTTTCTAGTCTTTCCTTTTCCTACTTAAAAAGTTTGAACACAATTTATTGTTATTTCCATAGTCCTGTTCTTCAGTCAAAACAAACTCTAATGAATTAGACACAGTTATGTTAAGGAAGTTAAGAGGGGGTTGATCCATCTGTTGCAATGAACACACTTCATGCCGCTTGCAGTCCTTGACTCAATGGTGGATGGAGTCTTCTTTCTGGAAGTGATAGTGGTGCCCACGCACCAGCATACCCTTATTTGTTCTTTAAATAGCCAGGTTTCCAAGAAAAATCTTCTGATCCTCCAGTCCACACCAGTTCTGTTCAGTTAACTCTGCAAATACTGCAGTGCATGTGCAACTACATTAGGCATCAAATAAATAAAACATTCTTCTGTGTAGCAGGCTTCACTTTGCAACAGTTTTGTGACTTGTTCACATACCACAGCACCAGAAAAACTTTATGCAACTAACGTATTTCGTATTTTGTTCTGTTTTCACTTCAGAAATGAGTCCGCTAACTGCAGTCATTTTCCTGGCTGCTTTGCTACATCAGTCCACTGGACAGGTAAGAACATTAATCCGTATGCAAAAGAGCCATATCTGAGCCTGGAGTATAGGTCTCTCATGTGGTTTTGTCTGGTCAATGTAGTAATCTTTAAAGCTTTAAAATTCAGAGCTGAAATTATTTTTCACTTGTCCTTTCCACGTTTACGTAAGACTTTTGTATTGAAATATTTCGTCTGCCTATCATCATATTATCCTCTTCACTTGAATATAGTGATTTTTAATAGAAACTTCCCCCCAAAATATGCACTGAAGCTAATGCAAAATCGTGTATCTAAGTATCAAAAATCTACTCTTCACCACTCCTCAGAGAGAATTAACTTCATCAAATGTAGAAATCTACTATGTAGGCATTTGAATATGAGCTATTTGTAAAGATCTGCTTAATAATGAACTTTGATTCATTTTATATAACTTAGAATCATAGAATATGATATCACAGATATCACAGAATTAGTCTCTCTCATTTTATGCTTTTCTTCTTGAATATAAAGGCAAACTGAGATGATTTTTAGAAATCTACTTCTATGTTATAGATATCTAAAATTAAATAAGATGAATCAATACAGCAGTATTGATTCTACAGTAGATCCCATCACAACAATGCTGGAATTCATCTCACTGACTTCAGCATCAACAAACTAGTGGTTTAGATTTCAGACAGACTCCCACTACAATCAATGGGCGGTGAAAAAGGTACTTCTATATGATGATTCCTTCAGCCCCAAGAAGGAATTTTGTGGATTGAACCACCCTTTCCAGTAACAGCAAAGAGAATGAAGATGTCTGACTTAGACCCAGATGACTAATTTTTAGATGTAAAGTGGGAAGAATCCCATTCTAAGGGATGTGTTAGCCTGAAAAACGTAAAGTAAGCATTGCAACTGTTTTTCTAAGCAAGGATCTATGGTCTGACATCGCTGGCAGTAGATAATCTAAATCGTTCATTGCTTTCTGGATCTTCGGTACCTCAGAAAATGGTCTGGAAAGAGCCCTAAATTCTGGTCCAGCTTCAAACACTTCCAAAGTTTGCAGGTGACAGGAGCTAGAGATTTTTTTAGTGCATGCAAAAGGTTAAGGTAAGTTATGAGATTTGTATCCAGTGCTGAGTTTTCTCCGTGTTTGATGGGGAGACACCTGGAAAGAGCACTGCAATCTGCAGGTTCCATCTAGGCTCATATCTCCCTCTGCAAAAATGCAGTTCATATGAATGAAAGGAGAAAAATATCAGCAACTGTAAGAACTGAAGAACCAGTAAAAGAAAGCTGAGAATTTCCAAGGAGCTTTAGTTTGACAAGAAGATAACAATTAATTTTGCTCGTTAAACCTCTGAGAACTGGAACCACTATTGTTATTATTTTCCATTTCAGACTAAAGAAAAGATGTTTTCTCTCTTTGCCCATTCTGAGGATCAAAATCGAAAACAGATTCTTGACCAACACAATGAAATAAGGAGATCTGTCACTCCCACAGCCTGCAACATGCTGAAGATGGTAAGCTATGCATTATGGCCAACCTGTTTTCCAGATCTCTAGCAGAAGACTGTAGCCTTCTGAACAATCCACAGCATCGTGAACAGAGAGGGCAGGAAAAGTGCTCTGGGATTAAGAGATGAAGGAAATAGAGTTTTATCCCTCTTATTGTGCAGGTTTCGTGCTTTGTCTTGCACAGCTCAATGCTTTCACTTGCAATATCGTTGCAATGGTCTCGGAACAGGTCCCAGCTGCTATTCGAAACCTCACTCTCTTAACCACCATGTCTTAGTTCCTATAGTTAGCAAAACTCTGTTAGGCAGCATGGGAAATGTCTGTGAGGAGATTTATTCTACTGTGGGGTAGAAGAAGTTGTAAATGAGAATTAGACCACTTGTGTCTTGTTTCAAGCTTCAAAAAAAGAGCTTGAGTAGCCCATGAGCACTGTGAGAGGTACTGTGTCCTCAGTACCTCAGGGAAACCTCAGCCTAGGGTTATTTGTATAGTGGAACTATGAAACAGAGGTTTGCCCCAACCATGGGCCATTTATTACTGTGAAACCCATATTAACACAACCTGGACAGTAAATCACAATTTCTTGCATTACGTTTGCCTATTGCAACAGACAGCAACTGCATCCCTTTTCAGGGAAAGTTTTTAAACTGGAAATAAGACATAAAATCCAGTGATGTTTCTTCGGTTATGGATACCACTCTTTATCCTGTAGGGTAAGCAGTTCTCTTGAAAAAAGTGAAACAAATCCCCGGGGCCAAGGAAAATGTGCAAAGCAAGGGCGGAATATGAACATCAGCAGTTCGTTACTGAATTGCACACTGAAAAAATGTGATGCCCATGTCCCAGTGGTGTAAACTGGCGTGACTCCTCTGCTTTCTGTTGAGCACCACAGGAGCATACAGTCCTCAGATCACTCCCCATTTTTCTCCTTCTCCCTCATGGACTGCCCTGTGATCTGGATGCTTCATCTTTTGTGTCTTTCAGGAGTGGAATGAGAAAGCTGCCATCAATGCTCAGAAATGGGCAGATAAGTGTCAAATGAAGATCAGTCCCAAAGAGGAGAGACTTGTTAATGGTACGTGAAAAACCTGGAGTCTAAGCGGGTGGGTTAATGATGATCTGCAGATGACCCCTGTGCCTGTGAACTAGAAATAAGGATAACTCTCAATCAGATGTAGTGTATCTTTTGAGGATTATTAAATACAAAAATATCATCCTTGTCAGAGAAAGACCTTGAAAGATAAATTGTGGAAGCTTGAGAGAGAGGAGGAGGCTATGTACTTGTCCTGTTCTTATACCATTTGTTAAATATCTGCTTTTGGTCCCTGCTGGAGACAAGATGCAATAGAGGGATTGCCCTTTGGTCTAAGTATAGCTATTCTTGTGTAATATTTTGTAGTCAAATACATATTTGGAACCTAAAGCTCACTGAAATCAGAGGAACGTTGCAGCTTTCATAGGGTCAGGTGCATCGTCCTCTTCCCAAAACCGCAGAGCAGACAGGTTGGCATCGTAGACCATTTTTAGGATGTAACTATGTCATAACTACCACGCTAGACCTTGCCTCTTTCCTAGGTAATCAAACTGACTTACTTCTACTTTCAGGTGTCGTCTGCGGTGAGAATGTGTTGCAGTCAACTTATCCCAACACATGGCCTGAAGCAATTAAAGTATGGTATAGTCAGATGTCCAATTTCAAGTATGGAGTTGGACGACTCAGGGAAAATGCCAATATTCAGAGCTATACTCAGGTATGGAGAACTGAAACAAATAGCAACGATGCACTAGAATTGTATTGAGCACGGTGAGCTGGGAGATTTTTATTATCAGAAAAAAAAAATTGTCACTGTTATCAAACCATTATCTATCATTCCCATCATATCCAAAGCCAAGTGATAAATTAAAACTCTTTTGCATCTACTTCAGAACCCCTGCAACAAGTGTTTAGGAAGAGCTGCTCAGAAAACGAATGTGATTCAGTAGAAGAAAAATGCTCAAATATCTTTAATCTTAAAATAAGAGGCAAACACTGAAATATGTATGCAATTTATATGTAGAGGATTGAAATATTTGATTAGGAAAATTCAGAGCAAAATATCTATGATGAAAATATTCAAATATAAACTTTTGTTCTCCTCCCAGAAAACGTGTCTAAAACATCTGCAAACTGGAGGACATGACTAACTCATTTTCCTATTTATTCTTCCTGATTGCGAAATTATATACGTAACAGCTAAAAAACCCAGACAGAACAAAACAAAAACATTTTTCCATTTCTACTAATTTGTTAGCCCATTGATGAGAATTTAGAGAGGAAATGAAACATAGCTCTGAAATAATATATTTATTTTCAATTCTACAGCTAATCTGGTATAACAGCTACCAGATTGGATGTGCAGTTGCCTACTGTCCTAACAGCCGATACAACTACTTTTATGTTTGCCATTACTGCCCTCCGTAAGTACTGCCCTTTTATTCATTTAAGATGAGATAATTTCGGATGTTTTCAAAAAATCCTGTGGTCCGTTAGTCCTGTGTAGGATCAATTGCTTGAAAAAAAAAAGGAATTGGGACTGTGGGAAGTAAGTAGAAACAACTGTGAAATACTATGCAGTCAAAATATTGATGTTCATTTTATTTCATATTGAAACAGAAATTAGGGGTATCTTAGCATGTAGATAAGGTCCTAGATATTTTAGGGACAGACAAGGTTCACAAGTCGTTCTGTAACTCTGATCACAAATGGGAAAGTTGGAAGTAAACTGAAGGCAAAGAGCAAATGAGTATTTACAGAGGTAAAGAGCACATCTCTGACCCCTGCCTGTAAGAAGGGGTCTGCTGAGGTTATTTCTTTATAATCCGCAATGCGTTTAGAAGCCATTAGAAAAGCAGAAGCTTGGAAGCAGAAAAGATTTTTTTTTTTTTGATTTTGTGCTGTACAAAGACAAACTGTCAATTAATTTTCTTTCGTCCTCCCCCAAATCTTATCAGCCTTCGCATCTGAATTTGAGATTGTTGTAGTCACAGAATAGCTTAAAGTAAAACATGGAAAATTGCTTTATTCAAAAACCAGGGGAATTCTTTCTCTGTGGTAAAAGGATTTAAGCTCCTGTCATAGGCTCAGAGCTGCACTTTGATCTTATTTTGTGTTGTCTTTCTTTGGACTTTCAGAGGAAATAATCCAATGCAAATAGCTACACCTTACAAAAAAGGAGCAAAATGTGGTGATTGTCCCGGCCACTGCGACCGCGGGCTTTGCAGTAAGTGAATGCGTGTTCCTGCTCACAGCAAACGCTACACCGTTTCAGATAACAGCTTTGCCTCTGTGCAGTTTTTTACTTTTTCACGCTTACTTTTCGCTAGTCTGGAAGCAAGTAACCATAGAACAACTTCTTCCATTCCCTCCTTCCCCTCCCATAATAATAATAATTAAAAATCCCACTATAATGGATGTAAAGGATGTGTTGTGTTGCTGTCTAGCAACAAATGCAAAACCATATAATCAGTGTCGTGCTGCCCTCTTCTGGAAGGTTTAAGACCAAATACTCCACTGCTCGTCTAAGCAGAATACTATATTGCTCTTGCACAAGTTGTCAGGGTCCGTGTATACATAAAAACATGCTCAGGCCCTTGGGTTTTGCAGACTTCCACGTGGAGCAGGTCAAAGTATGCAAACAGATGGGAGCTGCAAGACACCACCTTTCGGGCTGCATTCCCATTTCTATAAAACAGAGGAAAATAATCTTGCCTTTCTTGTTTTTATTAGTCTAATTCATGAAAGCTTTAGAAATGTGCTGAGACCCTCAAGTACAGCATACCAAATATTTTTTAAAAAAACTAAAATATTTTTCAGTGCTATCATATCCTGTGTCATACACAATTTTATATCTTTCAGTGTGCGTTGCCAGTTTGAATGGATTTATAGCAGGGACGACTGTTGCTTGCAGATCTTTAATTCACTTATAATCTGGTTGATTTTCTTCTGCATTAAATTAATATTCGAGTAATCTTAACAACAGAGCAGAGGAAATGATGCAAAGAAGTCTTGAAAATGAATGAGAAAATACATTTTGGAAAGCACACAAGTATCAGACCAGGATCAGGTTCTCAATTAATATCTCACATTTTTGTTTCTATCTGTTTATTTTAGCCAATCCTTGCAAGTACCAAGATGCATTCACAAACTGTGGAAATTTGAGAGTCTTGTTTGGCTGTAACTTTCCAATGGTGAAACAAAAGTGTCCTGCTACCTGCAAATGCACCACTCAAATCAGATAATGTCCGGGTGAATGTCATTACAGCTGCTTTGAAACTGACTTATTTGGAAAGAATAAAACTAACCATAAAGTGTATTCGCTTGCAGTGTATCAGCTTAGATTGAGTTGTAGTTAACATTTTTATGAAATCACACCATTATTTCAGACTTAAATTAGTCTAGTAACCCGACTAACCTCTGATGTCATTTTAGGCTTAATAAAAATCATCTTTAAGCTACTAATGGATTACTTTTCCCTTTTTCTTGCAATGGAACTTCCATTGATTCCTTTCTTTTTAATGGAAATTGCTCTTTTAAAACATTTTTTGTAATATACATTAAATTCCACTTAACTGTCTTCTGTTGCCTTTTCTTTGGTTATAAACGGAATGTTATCCTGCTAAATAAACACCTGGTTTGTCATCACTTCCCAGCCAGAGTTTTTCATTGAAGTTTTTTATGATTTGATTCTTTCATTTGGAAAATTCCTTGCAAATATTCCAAGGTTCTTTGATACTTTATGCTAGGGGGGATGAGTCTGGAAAAGAAAGGCAAAGACAAAAGTGACGGATTCTGTTTTACAGCCAAAATAAGAGGGACACATTGAATTGAGTCTGTGTCTGCCAGCTTTTACCTCAAGCTTAAACACAGAGCTTCTGATGCACCTATATATTCTGGCGATTAAGGATATTTTTTTTCATACGGCACTGACAGTCAAGAAATGGGAAGTAGATATAGATCATTTTTCAAAGCGTTCATACAGAGAAAGAGGCACATCCCCTTTCTGGATAGTCCCCCACTTGCTTGGAACTAATATTGTAGCATGTAGAATAAAATGCTACTACAAAAAAAATATTTGGCAATAGAAACCAGCCCCCCGAAATACCCATCAAGAGACATTTTCTCTAGATCTCTCCAGGAGACTTCTTACCACCAGGTCCTGTCTGTGAACAGCTCTAGGACCTCTTCAAGAATCTTAAGCTCAGCTCAGCTTAGCTCTGCCTTTTCCCACCTGCATTTGCAGGCAGACAGCCAGCTTCGACCTACAGGGGAATTTAGCTGGATCTGTTCCACATGGTCACAGCGTTATTTAGTTCTTGTGTTGATCCTAAGGGTGCCTTTACTTCAGCGAGATTTTTCGTTACATGCCTTTTCAGGCCCTTTGCAATGCGTGGCATAACCTCAAAGGACTGAGTGTCTGTTTTGACCCAGCACTGAGGACTCGGATTTGTCACTTGCCAGTGACATTCATTACTTGGAGAAACATCCTTTTTGTGACCCATTTAGTAAGGACTATTGTCATAATTGGGCCCATTTAGATATTAGCAATATTATTACATTGATGAAAGTCTTTGAAAATGGCAGAGGCTCATTGCTTTTATCTTATCATGATATCATTTCTGAGGATCCACACTTGCAAAACATGTGTGTTCAACGTAGGTGTCACATATGTATCAAAAGAAGACTATCTCTTTTAGTTCTTGCTGGAACCCTGCAATGGGTGCAGTTCAAAGGGACTCTTCGATTGCATCTGTAGTTTTCAACAAAAATCGCTTTGTCTTCAGCCGTTTTCAGATTTATTTTCCTGCTCTGACTCCTAACCCTTGAACCCTGGCACAAAATTGCACCAACAGCATTAGCATGCAACAAACAACCTGATTTAGTCCTCCTATTCCGTACATAAATTTCCCACACAGGGGACTTTCTCCATTCATCACCTTAACTTGCAAGTGTAGATGAGCCAAAAACATTTATTCCACAGGTCTGTAATTCTGGTTACAAACACAAGAGGGTGGACCTTATCCAGACATTCAGCTGCATCTGTTTTTGGTTTTGCTACCTGTATGAAGAGCTTCTCCTTTTATTTTTACACTGAAGTTCTGATCCTGTCCAGATCTGATTTTAACACTTGGCTGCACAGAATTTCACTACCTAGAAAAACTGTTTGTGCAATGGTTTCTTTCCCCTCATTGTTTCCTACTATCTCTGCTGGCCAAATTCCTGTCATATTTAGGCAATTTATAGTTTCCAGGATATCACTGGCTAGCTGAGGTAGCCTTCACTTGCTATCTATCTGAAGTTAATTCTGCTCATCATGACTGCATCCCACTATTCATGGTTTCCACAGCCACAGCAATATTTATAGAAAACACTGTAAAACAAAAGCTGGGTGAGAATTTCCTAAGTAAGCCATATTTTCCTCAGAAGACACTAGTTTTTCATACCCAGAATCTACTACAGGAGAGTAACTAACTTTGCCAAAACTGTCAGGAAATGCCTGGGAAATTTTCCAACATTTAATCCAGGGAGATGATTTTAATCCTCCCTTGAACACACTTTATTTTTCTCCTTCTCTTTCTGGCCCAATGAATATTTAAAGAGGGCTTGTTCTATTATCAGAGATTTCTGATAGAGCTTGCTCCCAAAAATCCAGGCTTTTTTGCTTTGGCTAACCAGCTACGGCAGCAGCAGGAGCCAGAAGATATCATCTACATCAGGAAATGCCACCCTGGAGCACTATAAGTCCTACTAGTCCACCCTACTTCGGGATGTGCAGATACTTTGTTTCTTGCTTTCATAGCTAATTTCAAAAGACATTGGTTTCATATAGATGCAGAATAGGAAAAATAGCAGACGAGATCTAATGTTACCTGGAAGATTGTATTTCTCAGCACAGAGTGTAAGGAGAGTTTGGTCACTGGCTTACTCCTAGTTGTTCATCTCCCTGGAAAGGCCGAGATACTTCTGAATGCGAGTTGTCCATGGCAGGTGAGGTAAAAGCAACATTGCATTCATTGAGATCTCACATGTCAACAAGGCTTTTGTCCCTTCTCTGAACATATTTTCATGAATTTACTCTTTATACTGATGCCCTGAGTGTTCTTTCCTTTGTAGCTCTAGCATACACCTTTTGATACAGGAGGAAATTATATCTACAGAACTGTGCTGCTTTTTAGGTGTAATACTGTGGAGAAATTAATAACACCAACAATTTCTCTACATTTCTATTCTTGCTGCAGATATACTCACAAGAAGCACATATGCTGAGAGATGATAAGAGTAACAACTGTGGTACAAGTCTAAGCCTTATCTGTAGAGAATGATGTAAGAGCTCTTAAGCAGCTGACTTGGGTGACAAGGACTTTAAATATAAAGTTTTGAACAGGTTTTATGAAGTCATATTTCCCAGTTTTATGGCTTATGAAGAAAGAACATTTTTGATATTTAACATATGCTAAATGCAGTATTCATGTTATCTGTTTTAGATACCTAAGAATCAGGCATTTACTCTGGGCTAAGTAAAATGGAAAAAAATTCACTTTTGATGTCATAAAGTCTTGCTGACTGTCGTGGGCCTAAAAGCTTCCCTGTTTTTCTGTATTTGTCTGATAAAGAGAACAACTCTTCCGTAAATCTTCTCTCACTTAAACCCTTAATGTACCACACCTACAATAACAGCATATTAAGTGAGTAAAGCTAAGGCTTTATACTGGTGAAAAACAGGGCTTGACAACTCCAGAGAGTGATTTATATCATCATGCCATACAAGACTTGTCTAAAATCACTGAGCTAAAATAGATCCCACCAGAGACAGATATCTGTCTCTTTCCAGTGACCAGAGATGATTAATTTAGACTATATAACTAACTTTTAGACATGCACACTTAGATGAAATGAGTACTATCTTTTACCCTCCACATACCCCAGAGAGATCCTTCCAGTAACACTGGATTTGAGTGCTGCAAGGTCAGTGATTTGACAGGAATAAGTATGTCGATAAACCTGTTGTAATCGTTGGATGCATATAAAGAATCTCAGACAGACTTCAGAGCTGAGGAGATGAGAACTTGCTCCAAAAACTAAGCGGAGACAAAATATCTGCCTGCCCACAATGGTGCATCCATTTGTGGGCATCATAAGGCAGCTTTCAAAAATGTTCTTTCACATATTCACATCTGATCCTATATATATATGTATTTCCCTCAGATGTACAGTTTCCCAAATTGTCTATATATAATCTTCAGAGGACTCACTTATCACTATTTCCTCTGAAATCCGTATCCTGAGGCACAAAGAAGCCTAAATCCCTACCTTAACCTAGGCCCTCACCTCGGGTCTCTTTTTTTCAGCCTTGGATATCCTTCCAGCTCAGCTTGCAGCAGGATTCACACACACAAACATGCGCATTCACCATGCCATTAGGAATTTGTATTGTCAGAGCGTCCGATTAATCCACAAGAAGCCGAACTGTAGGAAGATGCTTGAACAGGGCTGTGCAGCAAAGGGTCATCAGAGCCGGGACCATGAGGATGTTCCCCGCTCCTGGGCCTGCTATCAGCTCTTCTAGACCGTGCTGCCAAAAACTGGATTTCTCTGAGTGAAAGGGCCACGGTTAAACTGTGAAAAACAGGAGACAGGGCTTTCTCATTAAGAAGCCACTTGACAGCTACTGTCTCCACTCTGGGCTGCAAGTAAGACATTTAACCTCTCTACTTTGGTCTCACGGACTGTAACGCAGAGATAAACTGACATACCCGGGGGCTAGGAAGATTAATTAGTGAATGCTGAGAAAGAGCCGTCCAGGATCTGTTAATTATAATATCACATTGTGTAGCCACACCTCCAGTATAATTATATCTCTGTTTAACCACAAGCCAAGGCGACCCTGGGTGCGAGGAGATAGAAGTGAGGAAGTGCCACTCCCTCCCATGCTATCCCGCCAGCAATGTTCACAGGTTCACGGACTGGTCACTGGGCTCAGGCGTCTGGCTTGGGGTCTCAGCTGCACGGCAATGGGGCTGTCGGCTGGGGCTAACAAATATATTCTGACTCCAGCATCAATAGCAAGTCTTGCTGAAATGCATTTTTTAGGAGAAGCTGAGCTAAGTTGGAACAGAAATACTTTCACATGCACTAGGGAAATTCCCCACATCAACTCTTCGTTGCATTCACTGATGAACAAACCAGTGCTCAATGCGTATAAGTTAAAATGTCTCTTTGTGGTGCTTGCTTTCATCAGAAT